ACCCTCTGCCCCCCTCTCCTCCAGGGGCAAAGAAGGTGACGAACAAGGCAACGCTGTGGTACGTGCCCCTGTCCCTGAAGAACGTGAACAAGGTCCTGGAGGTTCCCCCTATCCAGGTAGGATGACTCGCTTTGCTCCACCACAGCCAGAGCTCACCCTCTCTGGGGGAACGGCGCTGACCTGGCCCCGTTCGGCACCCCTGGCTGTGCCCCTGGCTTTGCTGACCCCGTTCTCACCGGCCTTCCCTTCCAGTACGCGAGGAAGGAGCAGGAGGATGAGGGGAAGAAGCGTTACGAGGAGCAAAAGCTGGATCGGCTGGAAACTAAGCAGAGGAACGGCGACATGATCTTCCCTGTCATCAACCCAGGTAACACGGGCAGCTCGTGGCCCGTGGAAACGTCCTGGTGGTGCTGGGAGGCTGAACTGGTTCCTGAGGCAGCTCCAGCCGTCCCCGGGCACCTGTGACCATGTGCTCTGGAACTCTGCACTGGGAATGGTGATGGGATTTTGGAGCTGTGGAGGGAGAGCCAGGTGGGCATGTGCGATGCCCCGCTGGGGCTGGTGATGCCCTTTGCCAAAACAGTTCCTGCCACCCCTCCCTGCATCTCTCGTGCACTCCTGGGCAGTGGGGGGTAGTTCTGCACAGCACAGGGTAGGCACAAGCGTTGGGTGAGGGTTTGGCACGTTCTGCAGCTGCAGCCCCTCTCTGGAAGTCAGATTTTAGCAACAAGTGCATCAGTTGGTGTTTGAAGGGGAGGATGAGCCTACAGGGAGGAGCTGGGGGTCACGCTGTCTCTGAGGGATCACTGGGGGTCTCTCCTACCGAAAGCCTTGCCCCGGGTTCTGGAAGCCCAGTGGCGGTGCTGACAGCGAGCCCAAGGCGTGAGCGGCCGGTGTCCCCAGGACCAGCCGTGGTGCTTGGGTGGAGGTGGAGAGGTGGTGAGAGGGGATCATTGGGGGGGTGACGTGGGATGAAAGTTGCTGAAATGCTTTTTCTCCTCTGTTCCCCCTGCTCACAGACAGGCAGACGAAAGGTAAGGCTGTGCGGGCGCCGCGGCGCGGGTGTCCTGCCCGCGGGGGGAGGCGATGCCGAGCGGTCGGGGCCCGGCTGGTTTTTCCTGCCTTTAGCATCTCTCATTAGATGGAAAATGCAGCCCTCCCCAAGAGCGGGTTTGCTC